AATAGAAAATAGAATAGAATAGAAAATAGAATAGAATAGAAAATAGAATAGAATGTAGAAATAAAAAAGAATAGAAAATAGAACAGAATAGAGTAGAATAGAAAATAGAATAGAATATAGAATAGTATATAGACTAGAAAATAGAACTGAATATAGAAATAGAACAGAATAGAAAATAGAACAAAATATAATAGAAAATAGAACAGAATAGAATATAGAAATAGAATAGAAAATAGAATATAGAAGAGAATATAGAATAGAATATAGAAAATAGAAGAGAATCTAGAACAGAATAAAAGAGAATCTAGAAGAGAATGTAGAATAGAATAGAACACAATAAAATAGAATATAGAATGGAATAGAATAGAAGAGAAATAGAATATAGAAATAGAATAGAATAGAAAATAGACTAGAATATAGAAATAGAATAGAAAATATAAAAGAAAAGAGAATATAGAATAGAATAGAATAGAATAGAAGTAGAATAGAATTCTTTATTGATCAAGTGTGATTGGACACACAAAGAATTTGTCATTGGTGCATAAGCTCTCAATATACATAAAAAATACAGGCAAGTAACGGGTTTCGGGACAAGAGACATCTCACCTGCACCGCCACCCCAAAATTATTCCCGTCTTCGATTCGGGGTACGAGGAGCTGCAGCCAGAGACAAATCTGGGAAAAGAGACAAAAGATCGCAGCTAAGCGTCCTTTCGATGCCCAAGAAACCTTCGCCGGCAAACTCGCCAAGACAATTTAAACGAGGATTCCTCGCGATAGCTCACCACATTCAGCTTCTCCTTGGCGCCCTGGATCTCCGGCTTGACGCGGTTCAGCAGAGCGGTGATCTTCTCGTTGTGGCAAACCGGGCCGCACGGTGGAGCTGGGGAAAGAGGGGAGAGAGAGAGAGAGACCAAGATTTGGGGGAAGGAGGGGGGGCTTAAAGCAAAGACCCCCCCTCCCCGCCGGGAAAAAGATGGCTGCCCTTCCACGCTAGGGGTAAAACGGAAGCGGGAAAACGACCTCCCGGATGGGAAGGGAAAGAAGAGTTCTGTTGGGTTTTATGATCTGGTCGTCCCCGACTTTAGAAGACGGAATCGCAGATTTGGAAGGGACCTCGGAGGTCTTCTAGTCCAACCCAAAACATCTGGTGGCAAGTTGTTCCACTGGTCAATCGTTCTCCTTGTCAGGAAATTTCTCCTTATTTTTAAAATATACTAGCCGATAACCCGGAGAAATAGGTATGTATTTAGTGTCACAACCCCTGGTATGCCCAAAAAGGAAGCAGTCTGCTTCCTCCCATATTTGG